TCCTTCCATGGAATCTTGAGTGCTGAAAAGGCTCTTAGAGGTTATGGAGTCCCACTATTTTTTAGATTAACAAATTCAGTCCAAGAGAGGCTAGGTGTCTTGCCTGAAGCCATCCAGCTTTCTTTCTTTTCTGCTTTGTTTTGTTAAATCCTCACCAGAGGATATTTTTCCCATTGGTTTTTAGAGAGAGTGGAAGGGAGGGGGAGAGACACAGAGAGAGAAACATCAGTGTGAGAGAGACACATGGATTAGTTGCCTCCTGCACTCGCCCTGACCAGGGCTGGGGATCGAGCCTGCAACTGAGTTACATGCCCTTGACTGGAATTGAACCCGGGACACTTCAGTCAGCGGTCGATGCTCCAACCACTGAGCCAAACTTGCCAGGGCTACCCAGCTTTCTGACTCTGTTTTTGCACCCCCTCATTGTATCCTTTCTGATATGTATGCTCTGCGGGAACCTCCTTTAAGGATGAGCAGAACTGACTAATTTCAGACATGTTTCATATTCTGTTGGCAATTACATCACCCATCTTGCCATTTATAGCTTTGACTTTATAGCTTTGGGGAAGCACCTTAAAACATAATTGCAAACACTCTACCCATCCAAATGTGCACTCCCCATGCCTAATAATGAGGTTTTTAAGTGGTGGCATAGGAGAGCAGCATGATGATAGCTCATGTGAAATGAGAAATCTGGGCAAATGGGATTTGATAATGGATTTTTAGTGACATTGGTTGTCTGGTCCGCAGTTATGTTGGTACATTTTGTATTTTGAAAGGCACAACATGTCAGGTTATTGCCCAAATACTGGTTAAGATTTGGATTAGTTTTCAGATTTGCAGCCAAGTACTTCGGGAATGACAGGTAGGCACAATGTAAACACATGAACCCTCGCAAGCAGAAGAGGTGGCAGAAGTTCCAGACAGAGAAATGAGGCAGAGAGAGGTCAGGGAGACCCGGATGGTTGGTGCTGGCCTTGGAGGCGAAGGCTGGAAGCTGGAGACACACAGAGTGGGGAGTTCAGGGAGCTGGGAACAGCATTGACCCAAAGCTAGGAAGTGGGGACTTCAGTCCTATCAGGAAGGGCATTCTGCCAATAACTTGGCTGAACTTGGAAGCGGGTTCCTGCCCAGAGCCTTGCAGCCCTGCCGACGCCTGGGTTTCAGCCTTGCATGGTGTCACCCTACACCAGTGGTTCTCAACCTTGGCTGCACATTAGAATCACCTGGGAATCTTTTTAAAATCCTGATTTCTGGGCCCCATCTTCCGGAAATTCTGTTTCTTTGTTTATGGGGTGGGGTCACAACAGTAGTAACAAAGAAACAGAATTTCCGGAGGATGAGGCCCAGAAATCAGGATTTTAGAAAGATTTCCAGGTGATTCTAATGTGCAGCCAAGGTTGAGAACCACTGCCCTAGAACCAGCTAAGCTGTGCTATGGCCAGACTTCTGCCCCAAAGATACTGTGAGATAATACACTGTGCTGTTCTAACTGGGTGTTTGGAGTCCTTTAAATCTGCTAAATTCATAGCAATAGAAAATGAATCCAAAGGAGGGACCTGGAGAATAAAGAGGAGGGAAAAGAGCCAAAGTCAGCTGCCTCGCTGCCATGCGACCAGTTCTCCATGTCCCCTGAGACGGAAGCGGGCCTGCTTCCATAAAGGCAGCGACCACTTCCCGCTTGCTTGAGCCAAACATGTTCGTGTTTGGCCTCAGCTTCAAGGTGATGCGTTTTATTTGTTTGGCAGTGTCTGGAAAGTTTATTTTAATCTCCTTTGGAGTCAAGAGAGTATGAGAATGGGGAAAATAGACTCTCCTCAGTTAAAAAAGTCAAATTGTGCAGAGTGGGTTGAATGTTCAGGCTTTCTATGTGATTCACACTCTTTGTGGAAGGATAGTTTGGTTTAGGTTTTGGGGGAAAATTGATAAGCACATGCCAGATGGGATCGGGAAGCAGCCAGCGCTGTCCTTTAGGACTGCGGATGGGGGAAGTTGCCTGATCTGGGGCGGGGCGGGGCGGGGTGCAAATAGCTCAGCCAGTTTCCGTGTCCTTATTTGCGGGGAGCTGTTGACAACACGTAGCCGTTCTTGGCAGGGAATTCCACAACTCCAAGTGCTCTCATTCACATATTCTTATTTTCCTTGAGTTTTTAATTACTACAATGCTGCATTCTGTTGGAGTGATCTTGGCCATTTTAACTTTTTAATGTCAGTAAAGTGGACTTTTCTGGCTGTTTATGCCAAGAGATAAAAAAACAAAACAGACGAGAATGTGCACACCTTTCCTCAGACTACCCCTGCCACCTGGCGTTTACTCAGCTTCCGGAGAGCAGTCGTGTTTCCGAGCATCAGGCCGTCCTTCCCAGCCCCTTCTCTGGCCCCTCAGAAAACCCAGGGAATCTTGTTCTTTGGCCTGTTGTTACTGTGCTTCATCTCGTTACTATTAGAAACCACCCTCTGGGTTTGAAGAGCCCTTCACCCTAAGCTCTGGCAAACCTCTGCCGTCCTCCTGGGAAAGCCACTTACAGCCTTGGCTGCAGATTCGCTGGCTTTGGGTCGGGCACCTCCTTATAAGGGCCACCCAGCCAGCTGGTGCCTGTTGAGCTGGGCTTACCAGTCAGATGCCCATGTTTCTCTGGGGTGTTTGCTCCTGTTCTGCCAGCTGACCGTGGTCAGAATGTTCCAGTCTCACCAAGAGGCTCTAATAGCGTGAACCTCGGAGACTTGGGTAGTTCCCCACCCCTGTGCTCCCTGCCTCTCCCCCCTGCAGCCTGCTCTGGGTCGAAGCGGTTCTAGGGGGAAGGCCCTTGCTAAGGCCCCAGGCAGAGGAGGCCGCTGCCTCACCTCCACAGAGCCCGAAAGCTCACCTGAGCAACCCTTTCTTGAGGAAACTGTGTTGGGCCCATCTAGACAGAAGGGCAGTCAGAGGTCTCATAAGGGCAGCTTCTTCAAATTCTGCCTGGTCATCTACCTGCTGAGTCTCGGTCAAGCCGATTACCTCCCAGGGTAGTTTAAAAGAGCGTTAGCTAGCATGGATGGAACCGGAGAGTATTATGCTAAGCAAAATAAGCCAGTCGGAGAAACATAAATATCGCATGATCTCACTCATATGTGGGATATAATGATCAACATAAACTGATGAACAAAAATAGATCCAGAGACAAATGGCAGGGGAGGTTGGCCGGGGGGTCAGGGTGGGGGGCAGTTAGAGAGCAACCAAAGGACTTGTATGCATGCATATTAGCATAACCAATGGACACAGACACTGGGGCAGTGGGGGCTTGCCCGGGGTCAAGTGGGAAAAAGGAGACATATGTAAAACTTTAGACAATACATACATAAAAGAGCATTCGCCGCTAGTTTGGAATGGTTGTGTCATATAAGAGCAACCTGTATGTGTGCGCGGTGCATGTATCTGGTTAGTGCAAGTTCAGTGAGTCTGTGGCTCCCCGAGCGTCTGTCAGGCCAGGAGCAGCCTGACTGCACATCGCATGTCACAAAGCGTTTCTTCCAAGTGGTAAACACACACACAATCCATATTGTGTTTTAAGGACTGAGACAATAGTTCAAAGGATTTTCCGAGCTATTTTTAACATTGATGTCTGGAAGGAAAATGATGTCACATGCTGGGAAAAGTGTCCAGATATTCCCACAGACCACAGCCGAAGAATTCTGGTTTTTGTTTCTCTCAGAGCTGGGATGCCTCAAAAAAGGTGAGTTTCAAGCCTCCCATTCCAAAAAGCCTTGCAGCTTAAACTGTGCCTGCAGCTGCCTTCTCTCCTGTGGTTTGTCAAACAGACGGGAACACTCCTGCAAGCCAGACGCCTGGGTGGGAGTGAACAGCTGGTGGCAGGGGAGTGTTCTTCCGATGGTGACCTCAAATTCCAGAGAAGCAGAAGGCCAGCCACATTAGAAGTGACGAGAAAAAAAAGGATGATTATGTTGAGATTTCCTTCCTCTGCTCTGTGGTCCCGGACGGTTACTGAGCCGCGCTGATTTCCAATCATCTCATTGTGCTATAGGGCAATACCTACCTCAGAAGATCATTGGGAGGCTTTGCTGATAATGAGTGGCAACAGCTATTGCAGTGCACAGCACATACGAGGTTAAACAAATATAAGTTCTCATCTCTCCTTCCCTCTGACCTGGCTTCCACCATGCTATATTGTCTACCAGGGAGCCCGTTACGAAGGTCTCCCTAAACTGCTCAGGTCTGCTGCCTTTAAGTGAGGAAGAGCAACCAAGAAATAAAGTCAAGGAAGTGTGGAGAAGGAGGGGGAAGGACAGAATGGTGGCTTGTTCTGCTCCCTTTGGGGAGTGGTGGTTTCATTTGCAGATGAGTGAGAACCTCCCCTAGTCCATGAGACACTCTGTGGGGGGGTTTCATCTGGCGGGGGGGGCAAACTGTCCATCAGAGGTCGGGCAACCAGGATTCCCGGAACAGCCCAGCCTGGCCTGCTTTGGCATTTAGGTGCAAGACGATGGCCCTCCTGGGGGGTCTCTGGCCCTCTTCTTGGTGAGAATTGTATTCTTCAACATCTCATTTCACCTTCGCCCCTTCGCCTGGGTTTCTCCTTTGTTTGCTTATAGCAGAGAGACTGGAGATAGCTGATGATCTCTTTAGAGGAAACGGGATGCTTTCCTAGGACACTCCCCGGGAGGAGGAGGGGGAGCGGTCACCCAGGGGGAGACAGAAGGCCCTGCCATCAGAGCCTGGTGCAGGAAGTCGCACCTGCCCTTTCTCTTGGAGGTGCATCTTGGGTCAGCTTTGGGTGAGGGTGGGTGACAATTTCTCGACTATCAGGTAAATCTGGAAACTGATCCAGCTTCCTCCCCTCTTCTGCTTTCTGCTCATTCAATAATTATAGCTCTGTGACTTCATTTTATAAAAGCAAGAGTCTCAAAAATGGTCCATGTGGTGACTATGGCGCTGGGACAGTTATGTCAGCGTAATCCTTAAAGAGAAGGGTGCCCTTTTCTTATAAGGATGACGCTCCTACCTGATCTCGTCTGATCTCGGACGCTAAGCAGGGTCGGGCCTGGTTAGTACTTGGATGGGAGACCGCCTGGGAATACCGGGTGCTGTAGGCTTAAAAAAAAAAAAAGGATGACGCTCCTGCCTACTGGTGGCATTATATTCAGACCAGCTTGCTTCACGCTAGTCAAGCTTTAGGCTTGGTCATTGGTCTAAGGGACGTGGGGACGGGCCCCGATGAAGCAGGCTAGGATGGGTTTCTCATGGGTGCCCATCAGTGTGGGTGCTGCTGGTAGAGGCACAACACTTGGAGAATCACGGCTCAGACGTCCTAAGGAATGAGTTGGGAAGTCACGTGTGAGTGGTTTTCCATTCCTTCCAGGCCCCAGAGCAGCTGAGGATGTCCGGGGGAAGGGGCGATTGGAGTTGTGGCTGGAATCCTAGAGGGAATTGGATGCCACTCATGACTGTCACCATTGGAATAAACAACGTGTGCCTTTTGTTCTTCAGGAGCGGTGGGGACGTGACCAGATAAGGGTGTCCTCCCCAGAGGCACGTCCACACACGGCTCCCTCACGTCTCCCATGCCGCGGCCTGTTCCCCATCACCGTCCAGCCGGGCCTGCCCTGCCACCAGTCTGCGGCCTGGGCTGCACAAGCGATCCTGGATCGAGGCATGTTTTATCCATCATGACTTAGTTGTTACCATACACAGTGTTTATTTTTCTTCGTAGAAAAATGCAAGCTGTGTGCCTGCAAATGCTGGAAGCTCAGAATATTCCATTTGTTTGTGGAGAGACAGACTGGATGGCACAATTTCAATCAGACACTGAGCTGCAGCCTGGCATGCCCCTGGGGAGTGTGTGTGTGGGGGGGTGAATAATAGCACCGCGTGCTCTTCTTCCTGAGAAGCCTGCACTGTGTGCTCAGTTAACTCATTAGTCCCTGGCAGGGGTCCTGGAGGGTATATTCCTCCCATGATGGTTCCAGGACTCTGGTCCTTCCTCTTCCTGGGGACAGGCAGGGCAGTGTGGCACAGGCTGGGCCCCATTGATTTACTCTGGGTAACAGGCCTGTGTCATTTTGGTTCCCAAATGGAAATGGCCCTTTTCTTCATAATTATAAAAGTAATAAATGATCATTATTTTTTTCCTGGAAGCAAAGATTGAATACCAACATTAACCTTCTCCTCCTTCCCCTTCTCCTCCTCTTCCTCCTCCTCCTCCTCATCATCATCAGTCTTGCTGTCTGCATCTATCTGTCTATCTATCTCTAACCTGCCCATCAATTGTGGCATCTCCCTGGGTTAGCACATGTGGACCTATGTCCTCCATTGTGATGGCTGAATATTATTCCATCATGTGACTAGCTCAGCCCCAGAGTGAGGGACAGTTGGTTGTTTGCCAGTCATTTTTTCTTTTATAAACTGGGCTGAATTGATAGCCTGTATACATACATATGGTTTAGCCCCTTTGTTTTCTTAGGCTAAACTCAGCAGTGGAATTGCTGGGGGAAAGTTTTTAAAGAACATTCCTAAACTGCCCTTCTAAAAGCCTGTGCCAATGCCACCCAACCCCACAGAGTAACACCCTCACAGCCCAATTCTTTGTCACTTTCTTTTAGATTTCTGAATGGTCAGTATACCTTGACATGGGAAATCTTTATGTAATAAAGATTTTTTATTTCCTTATTATAAATTGTAGTTGTAATAAGTAGTTTATTATTACAGTAGCATTATTTGGCTGTTTCCTTATTTCAGCTTTTTGCTATGAAAATGTTTAAACGGTGAGAAAAGTTGAAATAGTAATGTAATGAACTCCCACATAGATTCCATCTAGATTTAATTATTTCCGTAGCTGTGTATGATTTATCTATCTCTATCTCTATGAACGTGAATTTAATTTTCTTTTATTCTTTCTTTTTCTTTTTTTTAGAGAGAGTGGAAAAGAGAGGGAAAGATGAGAGAAATATTGATGTGAGAGAAACACATGGATTGGTTGCCTCCAACCAGGGCCTGGGCAGGGGAAGAGCCTGCAACCAAGGTGTGTGCTCTTGACCAGAATCAAACCCGGGACCCTTCAGTCCGCAGACCGATGCTTTATCCACTGAGCCAAACCGGCTAGGGCTCTACGAATGTGAGTTTAAATTTTCCTAGCAACTATGGTTTTTTATCACACCTAAGAAAATTATTAATAATTTTATATCATCTATGTCTAATTACAGTCAAACTAACCCAGTAAGTATATGCAGAGTATTAGTTCAGTACTAGAGGACCTGTGCACGAATTTGTGCATGGGTGGGGTCCCTCGCCTGGCCGGCACTGGGGCTGATCGGGGTGATGGGGTATAGGCTGGCTGGTGGGACGGACCATGGGAGGTTGGCTGTGGGAGTGCACTGACCACCAGGGGGCAGCTCCTGTATTGAGAGTCTGCCCCCTGGTCCTCAGTGGGTGTCATAGCTACTGGCCCGTCATCCAGTCGTAATGGTTGCTTAGGCTTGTGTATATATAGATAACAGCTGCTATATACTATGTGGACACAATACTCAAGGTCTCTCCATCCTGGTTTAGGGGTCGCAATCAAGGGGACTGTGTTATTAAGAGGTGCTGAGGCTTGAATGCAAAATTCTTCAAGGAATGAATTTGAGAGGTGGGAGAGGCCAGGGTAGAATTTTCTTTTTCTATTGTAAGTTTTCCTGCAAGTTAGCAAATTTTTCTGCAGTGGTGGTGTCAGGGCCAAAGAGGCAAGAAACTGGACATCTGGGGAGGTGGTGACTGCCCTCCGGTGCTGCGGCCACAGGTAGCCCCGCTCCAAGGGCACTCGGTGAGCTGCCCCAGCGGCGGGAGGTGGGATCTTGGTGTTGGGACTGGAGAGAGGGACAGAGGTGGCCGCACAGGACCGCTCCGCCCCAGACAACGCGGGCATGTGTGCGGGGCTGTTGTGGTCTCCCTGGATGAGGGCCTGGGCATGCTGCCGCCTGGTGCCTGCTCCCTGTGCTGTCACCTGTTTCTGATGCCCCGCGGGGGAAAAAATCTATGCAAAGGTTTGGTCTGAAGTTTCCGAGTCTCTCGCTGCCCGGAGAGTCCACTCCATCGGGAACCCCCGTGGTTTTCAGCAGCGATGTCTAATGAGCTGGGCCCGAGAAGACGGCCATAAACGCGCTGGCCCGCTTAACCGAATGCCCTGTCTCTAGCTCCGACGACAATATGTGTTTTATGGCCCCGCTTTTTATTCGCTCCCAGCTGAAGGCCAAGCTGCGTGGCTTTCTCGTTGGGAACGGTGGGATCCGGGCCTCTCGCTTGCTCGCCTCTGAGCATCGCCCATGTCCTCCGCCGCTTTCCCGGCACTAGACCCGACCCCTCGCCCCGAGATCTCAGCGGTGGCAGCGGTGTGCGTCTCCCAGCTTACCAAAGCGGCCGTTCCCCTTCGTGCCGGTTGGATTTATATGAAGTGCGTTATGTAAGCCGGCAGGGTGTTTTTTAATGAGACCGGCGATGCCAACCTAGAAACGTTAAAACCCCGGCTCTTCACATAAAGCAGATTAAAGTGGAGGGTGCACCGCAGGGGTATTTCTGGGATGCGTCTCAGAGTTGGAGTTCTGCTCTGTTCCGAGTGTGGCTTCCTTTTGAAACATCTTTGCATTAGGTTTGAAATCAGCAGTGATTTGTTATTTGGTGGCACAATAGAGAGAGGGAGAGGGAGAGAGAACAAGAGAGAGAGAGAGAGAGAGGTGTGGCTGGGCATCAGGCATCAGGGACTTGGGGGTCAGTCTCTGAACCACTCCCAGGCTCAGTTCCCTCCAATCCTCCTCATCTCTGACCTTGAACGTACCATTCAGCTCTGGGACTCTGTCAACACAAACGAGCTCTTTAAAACTGCGATATTGCATTTTTTTATTACATTTACTAGGATGGTGAACATAGAACCATGAGTTTTATCTTTAATCATAATTAGAAGGGAAAAATAAAACTGAATAAATGATATCTGTAAAATATAGGTGCCATAACTAGGCTATGAAAGAAAATTTGTTATAGCTCAAGACTTTTTGAGAATTATTTTATGGACAAGTGCTAATTCTCCCATATTTGAAATATGCAAAAATCTAAAGGATGCAAAATTGAAATGCTTCAGTGATCTCTCCTGACGGCCTGAAACTGTTAGCATGTGAGCATCTATCCATCCACCTACCCATCATCCACACACCCACCCGCCCATTTATCTATCTACTCATCTTTCCCTCCATCTACTCCCCTCCGACCTCCCTCCCACTCATCCACCTGTCTATTTATCTACTTATTCACCCACCCACCCATCCATCTAGTCATTTGGTCATTCCTTATACATTTTTAAAGCACCTACTGTATATAACCATGTTTCTAGCTTCTGTAAATGTGATGCTTTAACATCTGCCCGGATGCATATTTGCACACAGTTGTTCTGGACAAACCGATGCTGTGCTGAGTCCCCTTGCCTTGGCGTCCCATCTTCCTCATTGTCTCCCATGTCCGGGGTGGGGTGGGGACTCCTCCTCCCAGAGGTGTGCTTTTCAAATACAAAGCGGCCAGTCCAGAGCCTACATCCCCAACCACCTCCTTTATTGGTTTCTCACGTTTGGGGCCACTATCCACCTGCCCTGTTACCCCAAGGCCAGATGCCAGGTGACTAGGAAGAGCCTCTATACCCAAAGCCCTTTAAGTTATTCCAACAAGCAAATCCCCGGCCTGCTTATCCTGCCTTGCCTGTTACTTCCTGTGAAAACCACAATAAAAGCTCGTGTCCATGTTTCCCCCTCACTCCCTCTGCCTCCTGACCAACTCTGGTGCTGCTTCTCCATATGACACCCCACCTTCTCCCCTCTCGCCGCCTCCGTGGGCGTGGTGTGCCCTCTTTTCTTGGGAACTTTGAGTAGCAAACTATATCATGTTATGACAGTCCTCTCCTGATTTGTTGGCTTTACCACACCTGAATAATATTGAAACCCCTAGCATGTGCCAGGCACTGTGCTAGACACTGCAATGTGAAGACAAGCCAAGCGGAGTCCCTGCTTTAAGAATCCTTACCGTTTGGATGGAGACACAGAGGAGCCAACACAGAGTGACAGCGTAGGCAGGGTGGGAAGTGCTGGATTCATGGTTTTGCTGGGAGCACCAGGGGAAGGGAGCTGGAGAGCGCTGTTTGGGGCTGGATCTTTGAAACACAAGAAGCTGGGAAAGCACCTGGAGAGGCACAGAGCCGGAGCAGCCAGGGCGGAGGTAAGAGGGGGCCCGTATTTGCTGGGGCTCAATGCAGGGTGGGGGTGGCAGGAAGCCTCAGGGTGGTGGCTCCAGGGTTTGAAGGCCATGCTCGGGGTGGGGGACATGAATCTCTGAGTGATGAGGAGCCAGTGAAGGCTACCTCCTCTTCTAGACCAGAAGGGAGTAGGTGTGAACTGGCAAGTGGAGGGAATATTAGGTGTGAATATTTCTCTTTCTCTCTGAATCAGGGGTGAGTGGAGGCTGAACATGTAAGGCAACAGGAGCGAGTTGATGGTGCTACAAACAGTGGAAGTGTAGCATCTGTGGTTGTGTCTGAGTGAGCCTCACTGCGCACATGCTGGGCCTCGGGGCACGGTGGGAGATGCACCCGGAGGTGAGTGACACAGGCTTTGCCCTCCTGGAGTGTATGGTCCGGTGGTGGAGTCAGCAGCCTTACCCCTGGTTGCAGAACAAAGCCGAATGGGGGAAGTGCTCCAACAGCTGTGAGCCTGAGCCCCAAGGGATAGGGACCAGCTTCCTAGAGGACATGGCATTTGAGGGTTAAAGGCTGTGTAAGAGGCCACCAGGCTGAGAAAGAAGGGGCCTGATCCTTTCGCAAATACGGAAGCAGAAGCCCTCTCAGCAGAAAACTAGAAGGAAACCCCAGGGGTGGGAGGAGGGGCTGAGGCCAGTGTGTGAACAGCACCCGCGGCTTTCCCGCCATCTTTGAGAGTGCAGAGCCTGGCAGGGACTGGGCAGTGATGAGCATGTTTCCGATCACGTCGAGCTTTTGATCTGTTTTAATTACTTGTTTCCCTCCGCCAACACACATTTGGCTCCCTGGTGCTGTGTTTAGCCAGCTCCTCTGCTTGGAGGTGCGGGGGCGATGGGCCATGCACGTTTCCCACAGGGAATACGAATGCCCTGCCTTTCTCTTGGCTTCACACACATGGAGCTCCTGCTCTGTGTGGGGCGATGAGGCGTCAGGAGTGCCCGGGTCTCCGTCTCAGGTTGCCTCAAATGCTTCTGTCTATCGGAGCCAGTGAAGGCTACCTCCTCTTCTAGACCAGAAGGGGAGTTCTGGAGGAAGGTTCAGGAGGAGGTTCTGGAAGGTTCAGGAGGAGGTTCTGGAGGAAGACAGAAAAAAATAAGATAAGAATCCCGATCAATTAGAACCCAACCTACAGAAATAGAAACACTTTCAGGTGGGTCAAAGCTGGAGACTTGCTAATAAACAAAAGAATTTCTTTGTAGGTCATATGGGATTCAAGGTGTCAGCTCTGTATTTGAACTTCCCGCACCTTGAGGGTAAATCCTTCAGCTATGATCAGTATGGTTCACCAACTGGTGGAGGCTGGGACTCAGTCATGCAAAAAGGATTTAAAAACATCAGCTTGTGAATTTTAGAATAAAAAAACCCCCAGTTTATTGAGGCATATATTATATATCATATAATTCACCCGTTTCAAGTGTACAATTCAATGTGTTTTTTCCCCCAGTAAATTTACTAACTTGTGCAGCCACCACCACAAATCACTTGTAGAACATTTCCATCGCCCTAATAATATTTCTCATGCACATTTACCATTAATCTCCATTATTCCCTCCCTACGCTCCAGGGCACCATTAAACTTCTGCGTCTTTGTAGAGTTGCCATTTTTTTGACATTTTATATAAATGGAATAATACAATATGCAATTTCTTGTGTCTGGCTTCTTTCACTTAGAAACATGTTTTGAGGCCCATCACGTCTCATTGTGTGCTGTTACTCTGTTTCCTTTCATTGCCAAATAATATTCCATTGTATGGACCAATGCATTTTTTTATCCATTGCACATTTGAATTGTTTTTAATTTTCATCTATTATGAATAATGCCGCAAAGACTTCCTGTGCAAGTCTTTGTGTGGGAGAAAGGCTTAAAACTTGGAATACAAAGGTTTGCTCTGATTCTCAGCTATCCAGAATAACATTAGTTCAAGAAGAAGGTTTTATGTGCAGGCCAGGGTTTTATTATTCCAACAGGTGAGAACAAAAGAACAAAGACTGAACCTGAGTTGGTAGAAAAATCCAGCTGAGTCCCGGAGGCTGAGGATGGCGGTTAAGATGAGGTAAATTGACAGGCACTTCTGAATTTCAGGCACTCAATTCCCGAGTATTTGAATCAATTGCTTTAAAAAAAGCGAAAAGAGAAGTACAACTTATATACTGAGAAGGGAGGAAAAATAAAATACAAAATGCTCAATTACAACCACAAAGGGCAGAAAAAGATTGGGAGACAACAGGAACAAAGGACAAGGTCAGAAGTAGAAAACAGTAACAACTATGGTAGATATTAACCTAATTATGTCAGTGATCACTTTGAACATCGGTGGTCTAAATGTATCAATTAAAGGACAGAGGTTATGAGAGTGGATCAAAACATAAGACCCAACAATATGTTGTTTACAAGAAACCCACACATAGAGATCAGAAGTAGCAGGAAGGAGAAAGATATACCATGTTAACACCAGTCAAGAGAAAGAAGTAGCTGTAGTAATTTCAGACATTGCAGGCTTCAGGGCAAGCAAAGATATCAGGATAAAGAAGGATATTACATATCACATGATCTCACTCATTTATGGAATATAATGAACAACATAAACTGATGAAAAAAAATAGAACCAGAGATATAGAGGCATCAAACAAGCTGTCCAACCTATGAGAGAAGGTGGTGGTGGTGGGGGGGGGGAGGCGGTGATGGGGTAAGAGATCAACCAAAGGACTTGTGTGCATGCATATGAGCATAACCAATGGACACAGACAGTAGGGGAGTGAGGGTATGTCCTGGGGGGTAGGGGTGGCTGAAGAGAAGTCAATGGGGGAAAAAGGAGACTCATGTAATACTTTAAACAATACAGAAGTAAAAACAAAGAAGGATATTATATAATGATAAGAATCTTTAATGTGTAGGCACCTAACAACAGAGCATTAAACTATATGAGGCAAAAGCTGATAGAACTGCAAGGACAAATAGATGACCACACTGTGACAGTTGGAGACTTCAACACCCTTCTGTCAGAAGTGGACAGATCCCACAGGCAGGATGTCAGTGAGGACATGGTTCATCTCAACAACACCATCGACTTCTATAGATGACTTCATTCAACAACAGAAGAATACACATCCTTCTCAAGCTCCTTTTGTCCCCACCATTTTCTCAAATTGTGTATTCTGTAACATAATAGAACCTACTCCAAATCTCTTATGTTGCAGATGGGGAAACTGAGGCCCATTGAGGTCAAGTGACTCTACAAGGGTTATTCAAAGTGTTTGTGGCAAAGCAAGGACTTAAAAACCCAGTCTTTGTATACTTAGTCCCAGCATTTAAAAAATTTCATTTAGTCACTTCCTTATGCAGATCATGTTATTGAGCATAAATGAATTTGGCTTTGTGGGCCAGATGATCACTGTCACACTCCTCAACTCTGCCACTGTGGTGGGAGAGCAGCCATAGACAAAATGCGATAAATGGGCACGCCTGGCTTCCAATAAAACTTCATTTACCAACACAGGCCGTGGGCTGGATTTGCAACCCCCACCCAGCCGCTGGTACAGTCTGCTGACATAAGTCAGAAGGTGGAGCAAATTAATAGATGTGAGGATTTCTTTCACAATGTATATGTATATCAAATCATCACACGTTGCACTTCCAGTATCTTACATTTTTATTTGCCAATTATACCTCAATAAAGCTTGGGGGGCGGGGAGAAAATGGAGTAGTTACAATCTGCACCTGACAGCCATTGCCCAGGTGGAAGGACATCTAAGAGCCATGGGACCCCAGAATTTGTACAGCCAAGAGCTGTGTGTGCCAGCCTGCCTTTGCAACTCAGAGGGGATGTCTGTTTAGCTTAGAAGGTTGGGGAACCTTGTTTCAGAGCATCATATTTAAGGAGCCGTGGGTGGGAATATGGGCCTGGGTAGTCTATGTGACAATGTCTAGCTTGTTCTCCAGACCTTGCCAGCTGGAGCTGCGCCAGGGCTGGGGCTGCGTTTAAAGGCTGATAAACTTTCCAGAGACACATTTTGCGAACAGACACGTGCCCCAGACACAGAGGGGGCATAAGGAGAAATGGGGCTTGGGCTTGATGACCAGAAGGATCCAGGGAGAGACCAGACACCTAGGACACAAGATAGAGGAGCAGCTGAGAAAAACAGCGACAGCGTGGGGAGTGGCTGAAGAAGAGCTTCTCTTGGCTTCATGGAGGAGGCAGCATTGGTGATGAGCCCTGAAGGCCGGGCCAGATTTAAGACAGGTGCAGATAATAGACAAGGGATGAGCGAGTGTGGGCATGTTTCCTAACAGCTAGTGGTGTCCTTTGGCTTTGAGGTTTCGGACAGATAGTATTTCTAAAAGTGATCCCAACAACATCTACCATGGCCCATGCTCTTCTCCCCT